AACATCAGAAGAAATTTGGAACTCAAGGCAATTGGTGGAAGCTTCAAGTGATTTGAATAAAACATACATAGAAAAAGTTTCAAATAACAAATGAATTTAGACCGTTTTAGAGAAATCAAAATCGGTTGCTTTGGTGTCGACGGTGCAGGAAAGACTACTATATTGAAGATGATCAAAGGCGGTGCGCTTATTTCCCATATTCATCCGGATTTCAATAAATTTTCCTCAAAATGAACAAAGTTCATCTCTTGCAGAAGATCCGCGAAATGTTTTACCGACCAATGGTTTCTCAATGATCGACATGGATTTCGACAACGACTTCACTATCAAAGTCTACGATCTTGGCGGACACGAACGAATACGAGATATCTGGCCGAATTATTTCGCCGAGGTTTTTTTATCGCCCTTCATGATTATTATCCAGAAGAAAAATCGAGGGACCATATCTTACAAACTTAAGGTACACGGTATCATGTACGTGGTCGACATTTCCGACGAAGAACGCCTCGACGAAAATTATGAGATGATACATAAGGTAGGTAATTGCGGCATTTGGGGAAAAAATAAGAAAGGAATGAATAAACAAATACTGAGGCAAAGAATCCAAACTCTGTACCCTAATTTTCGGGATAGTCGGAAAGAAAATATATAATCAGCCTGACGGCACAAACTCATTTATTGCTACCGTAATCTGGCGGTGTACGGTAGGCACATATGCATAGGCAGACTCATCACTGCAATCGATCGTTTCCCTCCCTATACCTACAGTACCGTGCAGAATAAGTGCGGTAATCAAAATATTTGTCCTATATATTGGATAACAATTCCTTCTATTCAAAAAGATTTCCTGTAAGTAATAGTCCTTCTTTTTTGCAATCTTTTTGGTAGTTGATACATGAAGGAAATCTTCGTTAATTATATAACAAAATATCTGAAATACTAATGATTTCAATATTTCTTATTTTTACAGGTTCAACTACACAAAGACACAGCCAAAAAACCTTTGTTAGTGGTGCTCAACAAGAAAAAGCCAACAGAACTTGATGATTTCGATTTTTCAATGAATGTAAGATTTTCGTAATTTTTTAAATGATATTGTACTCATTTTTCGAAGGCCCAGCTCTAGAATATCGATATAAAGTCGTTTATTTGTCATTATTTTAGGCAGACCTAAACGCTATAGGTTCGCAACAAAATCAAGTGATATTCGTTACGCATGTGAACATCTACAGAGGAGAGGTTAGTTTTTGATTTTGAAAAAAAAACGTTCTGTTTGCGGTATCCTACCGCTCACCACAATTTCCAGCTTTCTCTGCACAATTTGATGTTTCCAGCTCAACAATATCAAACGTCCACCACCTCTGGTATCAAAGCGTCCACATCGTGCATCAAATCCATTATTAGCACAGTTCTGCACATTTGTTGATAAGGTTAGTCGCAACAGTAATTCTAAAGACCCCCTTTTTTCCCCTGCGACGGCAACATTTGCCCAACATCTATCCTTTGATTTAACTGGCTTGACAGTTGGAAGGCGGGCTTCGTGATTTAGTTAGGGCTAGGGAAGAGAGACAGCACGCGCGAGAGAGAGACGCAGACTGCGTCGCGGGCGCGAACGGCCTCAAAGGCAGTGGGCCGGCAGAATGAGACCGTTGCAAAACAAGGTCACAGGGTAGGAGCCCCATAATGGAACTGGAACCTATGGGCCAAAGTTCGATCTTTCTCTGCCACTTCTAACCCCCGAAATTTCAAAGCGAAAGCAGTGCTCATCTCCTGTCCTCTCCGAACCCGCCCACCCCATGGACGAGTGACTTCCGCGGTCAGAGCGCCAGCCGCAATGCTATAAGCATGAGGTCCCGCAATGACTCTGCGTCTTCGCCATGACGGGCTTCGCGTTCACTCGTCCATGGGGTGGGCGGGTTCGGAGAGGACAGGAGATGAGCGCTGCTTTCGCTTTGAAATTTCGGGGGTTAGAAGTGGCAGAGAAAGATCGAACTTTGGCCCATAGGTTCCATTATGGGGACTCCTACGCTGTGACCTTGTTTTGCCACGGGTCTCATTCTGCCGACCTACTGCCTTTAATTAGGTCACAAACCTCTCCAGCAGCCGGTTGAATCAACGATTACGAGTGAACGAATTGACATACGGCGCAAAACTTAAGAATATGCGCTCCGTGGCCATTATGCACACGCAAATTACTGATTACTGACATTACGTGCGCAGCATATCCACACGAAAATGTTGTTAGCAAAAGTCGGCACCGCAAAATTTTTTTGGATTTACTAGCTTACATGGAACTGAAGTTGTCAACCATTATAGTACCCAACCAAGCTATTCCCAAGATTTCTTGTTTTCAATTTATCTTACAGATTATCGAGCACTATGTCTTTCTTTCCGAAGGGGTTCATGCTGCCGAGTTAGCTTTAAAAATTCGTCAACAAGCAGAGCGCGATGAACGACGATTACGACTGATGCAACAAGAACATGAGAAGAGAAATAGTGAAATTGCTGGTCTACAACAGTAAGCCTCACAACTTGCTGCTTTTGTTGCAGGCAAATGCATTTTTGCAGATACCCACCTGCCTCTGGTAACGGGGATGTCCAGCATGAACAACCTTCTACGCCTGTCGAAGGGGAGCGTGTATCCGCGCACTCAGATAGAGCGTCAAATCAAGCTCAGCCAGATTCTAAGCCTGCGTCACCAGGCTCAGCTCAACCATCTGCCACTGATACACAATCGCCAGTGAGTTCTTCCGCCTCTTCAGACGGAGAAAGCTTTGGCGCACGCAAATCCCACTCTTAGGCATGCGCCATACGCGATCCGCTTGATCCGCTTCATTATTGGTCAATTCAGTGAACTGACCAGTAGTGAAGTGGAGATCAAGGATCAAGTGGACAACCGCTTCGCTATTGGTCAGTTCACTGAGCTGACCAATGACGACGCGGATCAAGTGGATCAAATGGATTAAGCGGCAAGTATGGCGCGTGCCATAGGTGGAGTTCATACTGATTCATAGGTGTCGGAACAGTTCTAGCTCAGCGCTCGAATTATGCGCAGTACTGGAACTGTTCCGGAACTTCCGGATCTGTATAAATCAGTCTTAGGCACGCGCCATGCTCGATGCCCTTCACTTCGCTATTGGTCAGTTACTGATTTAACCAATGGCGAAGTGAATCAAGTGGAAAACGCGGAGCAATTATGGCGCGGGTTCAAATGATGCGCTCCAACCACTTCGCTACTAGTTAAATGAACTGACTGATAGCGAAGTGAAATAAGTAGCTATCCGCTTCGCTATTGGTTGGTTCTCACTGATTTGACCAATGGCGGAGTGGACGAAGTGGACCAAGCACATCAATTGAAGTAAATGTAGCGCGTAGCTATAAGATCCAACAATATCCTGTTTCAGACCGAAACCTCACCACGTCCAGAGACGTCCCGCGACTCTCCCATGAGCGGCGATGCGGTACTCACAAGACCATTACCGGTTCCACCTCCCAAGCCAGCTCGAAACAGAGTGGTTCCAGTAGATGGTGAGAAGCTTATCAATAACCTTTATGTATTTACCCACCGATGTAGGTCCATTTAGACGGTTCGACACCGCGATCAGCTCCAAAAGATCAAAATATATTTACCATTGAGCGTTCAAACGAATTGAACACTACTGGGAACTCTTCTGGTAATCTATGAAGACTTCTCGTGACTACTCTTTTATTAACTATCCACTTGCAGGTCGAGAAAAACACCTCAATCGCATGCGTCGAATACAAAGCGGATTACAAAGGAAGAAACCCGATGTGATTCAACTACAACCACTAGATTTGTGATTTCAAAAATTCAGTCAAAATCCTTATGCGGGTTATACTTGTTTGCCAATAAATGAAGTGATAACAACTTTATCAACAACAGACAACAATTGAAAGTTGTTCAGTCGAACAGACCGAATCCCATATCGTCATCGGACTCTTCCTTGGGCTCCTCCTTCTTCTTGGTCTCTGCGGCAGGGGCAGCAGGAGCAGCGCCACCAGCAGGGGCTGCTGCACCACCGGCTGCTGGGGCAGCGGGGGCTGATCCAGCTCCAGAAGAAACGGAGGTGATCAGATTCTGAAAGCATGAAAGATAACGTTAACACTGATATAGAGCGTATATGATACAGTAAATTTGACGATCAATATAGTCCTAGTGGCGACAACACTTGTGTCAAACGTCGACGATTCCGATGTCGAGAGCATTTGCGTGTAAAAATTGGACATACCCTTTGTGTCAATGAGAGTGTGCCCGCCCCATGCGGTTCAGACCCGCACGACGCCTCGCTGACCCTGCGCCGCGTCTGCGATGTATATCCTGGGCACTTTTCAAGCCTGAGTGGCGATCGAAGGCGAAAATGCCCAGAGGGTACATCCGCAGACGCGACGCAGGGTCTAAACAAGACGGCCGTGCGGGACCCAAATCGCATGGACCTGTGACACTGTCACAGAGATAGAGGATTAACCCAGATTTTTTTTCGTTTTGCGCACCTGCAACGTAACCGAAGAACCATATTGACCATCAAATTCACTATGCTACGTTAAAGAATGGCTGTCTCGAACCCAGAGGATGACGCTATTCGACAGATATTAGAACAGCACCGAAGGAGATCCGAATACCCTGATGGGCTTTATCTCCCTTCTTTTACATACACTTCTACCTGGATACGATAGGAGCGCCAAGAAAGAAGGTAAAATAACAATAAAATCTGCAAACAAACCTTGATGTCGACTCCTTCAACAGCCTTGGCGAACAGTCCTGGCCAGAAAGGTTCAAATTCGACGTGAGCGGCTTTGAGGAGTGTGGCGATCTTATCTCCAGTGATAGCGACTTCATCATCTTGAAGGATGAGCGCGGCATAAACGCAAGCCATTTCTTGGTTCAAAGCCATCTCGAGTGCAAGTTGCAAATTGCCTTAGCTCCACAGAGGACAAGCGCTCAGAAGGCTAAAAATACAATCATTCATACTATAGGGAAAATCTGCATTAAAAGTAGACAATTGAAAATACAACACGGATCATACCGCAGCAATTCACAATCATGAAAAAACAACATAGTTTATATGACTTTGTTCAAAAAGGTACAAAATCAACAACGGCAGCTTATGCAACCAAAATACAGGCTCCTCCCGCTTCCTTGATCTTATTTTCGGCTTCGTGGGAGAAATATTTAGCCTTGACGATGAGGGGTTGTTTTGGAAGAAGTCCTTTTCCAAGAACCTGAAAGTTTCTAGTTAAGAACAGCTGTAATTCAAGCCATGGTTAAAATTAACTGATTATTATTGACTGCAACATTGTAAGAAAGAGCCAAACTTGTATTCCAAAATTCAAGCACCACATTACAGTCGAAAAACAAAATATGCTGTAAAAGGCTTTGAAAGACCGTCAAATTCCATATTAAAATACTATAATCGAGACGTCTAGACGCTTTGGGTCGAATTTGAAAATGCTTAGCCACAGTATGTCAAGCACAATGTTCTATGTAGTGAGATTCAAAATTTCCTACTTAAAGTACAGAGCTATAAAAACTCTGTGCAAGCAGGCGAACTTATCGTAATGGTTTCGCTCAAATATTGTTAAATGAGTAGCAGCGTATAGCAAGCATCACATAAAACTTGAAATAATGTAATTCAAAATTAGATTGCTCAGCATTTTTCAAATGACTGTCTCGAATCCAGAGGATGACGCTATTCGATAGATATTAGAACAGCACCGAAGGAGACCCGAATATCCCAAGGGACATAATATACCTTCCACTACATACACTGTTACCCTGTAGAGGTAGAAGCGCCAAGATGGAAGGAAACACAGCACAAATAAAATCTGGAAATACTTCTGTAAGCTTACCTTGAAGTATCCAGCCTTCACGCAGTCGATGACTGGAGCTTTGTCGGGGCTGGCTTGCTGCTTGATTGGTTCAGGTACTAACGACCATAATCGGTCAACGTTCACTGTCGGGCAATAATATTGGTTCTTGTTCAGATGGAATACTCGCATACCGACCTAAATCAGCAGAAACTGAGAAAACAGATTAACTGTGAAACCTATCACAGATCTTCTGACAAAAAAGTACGTACACTAACTGACCTTTCCGAAAAGACCAGGGTGGAATTTATCACGGTTGATTCTGTGATGATGTTGACCACCAGCCTTACCACGACCACCGGGGTGCTTTCTGTGCTTTCCAATACGACCGTGTCCATGTGACACATGACCCCTAAGCTTTCGAGTCTTTCTCTTGGCGTGGGCCATACCCTGAAAAATCTTAATGAATTTGCGAAACGCTAATGAACAACAGGATCGTCAATGAAAACAACGGCACAAGAACATACCACTAATGTCAACTTTTATTTTCATGTCTTTCTTTTCAAACAACTCTTATAGTTATGACTACTGAATGTCATTTCTTGAATGTTTTTCATCCGAATTTTACCGCATAAATGAGCATTATTTTGAGAAGTTTTTGAATTGTCATTTCTTGAAGTTGCTCTAGTCTTTTGCCCAAACTTCAGCCCACAAATAAACTTTTATTTTTGGAAGGCTTCTAAGCTTTCATTTCTTGATTTTTTGCCCGGATTCGGCACTCAAGTAAATTATTTTTGAAAAGCTTGACAATTTTTCAAATAATTTCCCAGTGTTTTGTCTGAATTTGAACTCTAATAAACTTCTGAACAAAAAAAAATGTTGTGTTCCATCATGTCATCTTTGCCGTTTGTAACATTTAATAGAAGCACAGCCATTAAAATCACGTTTGAAAATGACCACCTCACTCAGGTGGCCTAGTATCTGGAAAATTCAGAATGCGCCCAAACTTCGTCCACAGACTTCGTGACATGCTAATTATGAATATTTTAGTCCCTATGCTTGGTAAGGCCTCTTTATCATGCTACGGTGGGTATACGATGACGAGTCAAGATTCATGTGCTTTATATCGCATGATGGGGTTATCTGGCAAAGTGCTTACGAATTACATGTTATCACTATTATCAGTATTATTCGATTACGACCCCCTTCTATACTTGGGTCCGAATCGAATAGAAATTCGATCATTCGAATAAAACATTCGAATATATTCGCATTCGAGATTCGATATTCTTCTTCCATTTTCGAATAATATTCGAAACTCGAATAATTGAGAAAACGGGGTTTCGAATAAAATTTGAAAACTCGAATAATCAAAAAACGAAAATTCGAATATTATTCGAAAACTAGAATAATCAAAAAACGGAGTTTTGAATAGATTTTATTCGAATGTTTTATTCAAATGTTTATTCGAATTCGTATTCGAATGAACTCCGTATTCAGTTTATTCAACTTTGTCGCAGATCCAACTGCTGAGTATCAAGCTCACTTCGTCCGCGTTTTTTTTTCGCAAAACTCATAATGCATCTTTTGCAACCGTTATGACCTTTGAACTGTATGGAGAGTCGCATTCCTCCGACTGCTTGCGACAGTAAAAAATCATATGTGGATTTTAATTGATGCTTTTTCGGTCAATGAGATTGTTCGCATTGCAATTGGCACCAAATCAGCAAAAAAGCTACAATTCAAGCTCATTTTCCGAGTTCATGTACTGGAAGTGTGTTGAACATACCTGCTTCTTTTCCTTTGCATTGCGCATGCTTATGGTACCCAAGGTCCACACTAGTGAGCACTCTTGCTTGCAGAAATCATATTGCGCAACTACCCTATTCTTTACCTCAGATTTTTGCGAATTGGTGTAATTGGGGTAAAGGACATCGCAGTTGTAGTGGAGGATTAGATGGTTGCTGAATTTTGCAGTTATATCACCTTGCAATAAACTTTTGTTCAGTAGATCGTACTGAATAGTTCTGTCATCACAGTGCATCCAAGATTTTCACGGAGGCTTGCAAGCACTTTAACACCGAGAGCTATCAACCTACCGACTATGGTAAAGGCTGAAGGCGGGCAAGTAAGGTCCACATTGAAAAATGCGAGCTTTGATTATGACATATTTCACGCGATAGCCGTACGTGATTTGCCAATTACGAGATGTCTTCGAATGTAACCTACCACAAATGTGTAGCGTGTACAACTTTCTAAATAGATGAGTGCCCTGCATTATCTGCTTTTAGAATTCGAACGGTAAGTTATGAACAACTTGATTACTGCCAAACCACGTCGATACTGAAATGCCTGCAGTATGCCCGGCTATAGGGGCACTCGTGCTCGCTTCACGGAATAAACCACATGCCTTCGTCTACGACTAGGCTATACCACACAAGACGGAAGGGGGGAGGAGGGTAGGTGAGGGCGCTGATTATGGATAAAATTTTACTTTATCGATTTTCGGAGAACTTTGAGTTATGAGGCCGGGAGTTGGTTGAGGGGGCAAGTGAGGGTGCTGATTATGAATGGATCGGCTTTAACCGGATATGTCAGCAAGTTTGTGATATTATTGCTCTAATTAATCGATGAATCATTCGAATATTATTCGAAATTCGAATTCCAGTGTTCGAATATGTCCGATACTCATTCATTCGATACCTTTAATTTCTCGGAATTCATTCATTCGAGAATTTTAGAATGTCGTATTCGATATTCGTTTATTCGAAATTTTTCATTTTCGAATTTATTCGATATTCATTCGATGAAAAATTTCGAATTTACCCAAGTATACCCCCTTCCCGTTTTGACTCCTCAATACGACCCCTCAGGTGTGGTGTGCCAAACCCCACGCTTGACCCTGAACATGCTGATCCTTACTTTGAAGAACTGTGTGGGAGGGCGATCATTTTGCGAGGCTCAGTGGTGCCGCCGAGCTGCTTGCTTGAAAAAATGAGAGGTGCGTCTTGATTTGGTGAAATTAGGGTACATACTCGAATATTCGAATGGAATGTTTATTCGCATGTCACAAATGCGAGCTTTCTTATATATTTGAATATTGCATTCGATTTGGAATATTTAAGTATTTGATGGTATCCAGTTTTTCGATTATTGGAATAGTCGAATATTCGCAGCAGTCATTTGAATATTCTGAGAGCTGCCTATGATATTGGTACGATTATCGTAGAGGTGAGGTGCTTCCCGCTTACCTCATTGGAATAGGGTCATTTGCACCATAAAAAAGTGTTTATAAATCTTCTCAAATACGAATGATCTTTGTAAAGTATCTCAGCACATATGTTGTGTATCATTTTCATCTTCATGATCATTCTTACGAGTCTTCTTCAAGTGGCTCCGTTGACGCTGGCATCATCGATGGGGAGCCTGCTTGGATCAAGCCAGTCTCCGACGACATCACGCGAACCGCCTCCTCCGCAGAAACTACGAAAGTGAATATTTTTCTATTTGCCTTGTTTGAAAATTATCTTACACCACTTACAGTGACCATCGCAATCTCTCCAATAACTCATCTTCTCAAACAATCTCTCAGCACACGAAGGATCGTTTGAAAAATATGATAGCTCAGCGGAACAGAGAGGGAAGTCAGACGAACCTTGTCGGTTCTGCGCCGCAACAACATCCTCCTATGAGTCCACAAGTAGGTTTTTTTGAAAAAATTCGTGGAAATTCACTGTTTCAGAACCAATCTCCATACAAAAGCTGTTAGCTGCAGGTAAATGTGTCATCGCCTCACTTTGAGCCGTATCGTGTGCCGGCCTCTTTGCACACAGCTCAAACGGCCACCGCTCAACCATCTTCTGAATATCAGCTACGTAAAGTTAATAGCGAACCAAATTTGAAGATGCGAATTCGGGCAAAGTTGCTCAGTAAAGGCTCCAGTCCTGTTCAAAACCAGAACAGCTTCAATTTTACGCATCCTCAGCTTAAGCGGCAAGTCTTTGACTTTTTTATATTGCGTCCGTTTATTTCTGCCCACTCACGCTCCAGAAGTGACAGCGAAACATCTGGGAACGGTAGTACTGCCGGAAATCTTGCAATGGATACGCTTTTGACGAACGCTGCCAACGCATTTCCTCCTCATCTGATCATGCCGTCTCCGAGTTTGCCGAACCTTGCCGCACCCACACTGGCACAAACTCCACACTTACCCATAGGTACTTCAGTTTTCTGAAATTTGAACATGCAATAAGATGATACTTTGAAGACTTAGCTTCGCTGATGGCAGCTGCTCAACTTACTCCGTTCCTAAGCCTTCCGAGCCTGTTCAAGACGCACATAGGCCTTGGAGCAGGTGTGCTTGAAGAGGAGGTCGCGGATCGAACTAAGCTGACTCCAGGCATTGCAACACTTGGAGCGCTTTCGCAGCAGTTGCCGGTCTTTGGCAACCCCTCGCTGCTCAAACAACAACTAAGGGAACTTGTGCTAAGGAGAAAAAGTCTTGTTCGGTGAGTGTCCGCCGCTGTAGCTTTGAATTGCTATGTCTAATCATCTTGAGTTGCGGGTTTAGTGAGGAGCCAGAAGATGATGATTCGCTTTCTGCTCAACCAGTGCTTTCTCCCGGGCACCTGCCACCTTCCCACGGCCTGGGTGACGTAATCGGTGGGAAGGCCACCGGTCTTGCCTACGACTCGAGTATGGCACGACATGAGTGTGTTTGCGGCGAGAGTAGTTCCCACGTTGAGCACGGAGGAAGAGTACAAAGCATCTGGGCGCGGTTGTTGGAGCGCGGGCTTGTTCAAAAGTATTTGGTTTAATTTGAAGTAGCCGCAGATCCTATGAATATTGCCTTAAGATGTGAAAAAATAGCGGCCAAAAAGGCTTCCCTCGAGCAGCTTCGTATGGTCCATTCTCCAACATATGTCACATTCTTTGCTGTTTCGCCCACAGCCTGCCTTAAAATGGAGGCATCGCAGCTCCCTTTGAAGAGCTTTGTTCAGGTAGGTCGGAACTATTTTTCTTAGGCGCTCTTCATGGAACTTGCTTGCAGTTACCATGTGGAGGAATCGGCATAGATTCCGACACATATTTCAACGACGCGACAACTCAGACTGCTGCTCGCGTGGCCGCTGGTTCTCTTATTGAATTGGCTTCACAAGTAAGTTACACTTGTTAATGAGCAGACCTTCAAATATAGTTCTATGTATATTTCGCTGATCTCGGATTTCTCATGGTTTTTTTTCAACCGTCTTTGAGTTTGTGGGAGAGGTAGCAAGTACAATTTTTGTCAGATGCGGACGGAACTCCGAGTTTTTTATAACAGTAAAACTAGATTTATTCTCGACTGTAAAAGTAATGTGGTTGCGTATTCTGGGTCTCTTCTTCATTAGCAAGTACATGTCTTCTGGAGGCAGCACAGGAAGCTCGAATCCTGTGTTCCGCTTGTTCCTTTCTATTCATCGGAATGCTACTGCTCTTTTGCAGTATGAAAATCTCAATTTTATGTGTTAGGCCGCTACACGTTTGCTCTCGCGAGCGGATCTGGAGGCATCGTGCACTTGCCTGTGAAGAGGTCGCTCTTTCGCATGAGCCCCAGTTAAAGGCAATATCACGGCAGAATTAAGTTCTTGTAGACATGATTGTAGTGAAGTAGTACACTCAGTTGATCGCCTGATTGTCTCCATAAGTTTGCATCTGGTTTCGCGCTTTTCTCGCAGGGGGAAAAATCCATCTCCGAGACTCCACCCCGCTTTCTGCGCACTGCTTAGATCCTTACAAGGGAATGGTCAGAAATCGAAGTGGCCAATTCATGCAAGGTGCATACCATTAGATGCAGCACAAAACGCTGACGCTAAATCTGTCTTCCTTATCTGCGGAGCTTTTTTGTGGATGAAATTATAAGCCGTTGAAGGTCATTATTTTGCTAAGAAATCGTGCGTGTAAAGGACAAACTCGGCCGTATAGAGGCATTCTTGGCTCAGTGCTGGACCAAAACATGCAATTAGGTCATTTCATATGGCCCTTACCTAGAGGTGAGCTAAAAGGGAATAATGTGCCTAATTTCGCATTTTTAAGGACGATTTTTTCGCAGTAAAACTGCTCATTACTTCGCCTACAAAGGCGCTCTGCAGATAAGGAAGACAGATTTGAAATCGGAGTTCTATGCTGCATCGAATGGTATGCAGCTTGTTTGGATTGGCCACTTCGACTTCTGACCATTCCCTTGTTAGATGGCCCGGCTTCACGTGACGTGCGGGCCCCAGCACAGAAGTTCTCACTTATCCCTGTCCCTTGCTTTAGACATCCAGTTTCTCAGCTGGTACATCCGTTCCACGAACACGTCTGTCCATCTCGTTGGAGGTCTTTTTCGGGGACGTTTTGCTTCGCGAGGAATCCACTCTGATGTTCTTAGTCTCCATCTGTCGTCTGTTCTTCTCATAATGTCATCGGCCCATTGATGCTTCGTTTTCTCAACGTATTCCGCTGGGTCACGAAGATGGGACATTCTTCTCATATCAGTACTGCGGAGTCCGACAAGATGTTGTTTGTGTCGTTTCATCTTCAGAAGACTGCGCTCAAGCGCTCTGTGGGTGGTCCTTAGAGCTTTCGTGGCTACAGTGTCAGCCCAAGTCTCAGCTGCGTAACAGAGCGGCGGAAGAACGGTAGACTCGAACAGGTGGGCACGAAACTCCGGGCCTGTCAGTTGGTCGGTGGCTTCCTTCAGAGGCCCGAAGGCGGCCCAGGTTGCTCTTCTTTTCCTGTTAGAGGCAGCGTCCAGGCAGATCTGGACTATGGGACTCTCAAGTGGAGTAATCTTGGGGCCCTAACTAAGCCACTGCCCAACCGGCAGCTCAGGTAGTGCACTAACGGCTGAGATAGCCTTGAAACTCAACCCCGGGATCGTATTTCGCATGGATTCATAGCGTAAACCACCAATATCGCGCGAGGACCCATGGGTTGCGCCATGAATCCATGCGAAATACGATCGCGGACGGATCCAGTTTCGCGACGAATATCTCAGCCATTAGAGCACTATCTGAGCTGCCGCGTGGGCAGTGGCTTAGTTAGGGTCCCAAGACTGCTATCCATGTGAGAGCCCCATATGTCCAGATTTGCCTGGACGCTGCCTTTAAGTTCTTCCCTCAAGTCGTCATGTGCATCGATCGTCCGAGGCACACGTAAGAAGAGGTCTCCATGATAAAGGGGCCTTCCAATTCCATTTATGCATCTTTAGGGCGTTCTTCGCGGATTGAGTCTTCTTCCGATTTATTCGCAATCCGATCAGTGAATTAGCTAACTCTTTTTGTACTCAGTACAAAGCACTATTCCCTATTACTCATACCATGAATCCTGCTTCAAATAACCATCAAATTATGGAATTAGAAGCAGGCCAAATCTCGTTTGTCCCATTTTTCGCTTTTAAATGCTGTTTCACCAGCTTTTTACTCAGAGTGAAGATCAAGAATCAGGCTCAAATTACTCCTATGAAAACTGCAAGACTCAGGCTATCAAACCATATGTATTTTCTTTGCTAAAATTCTTTTCGGAGGCAAGTTAATGGGGTGTGGGACAAACCCCTAAAAAGATGTGGCCGCCAAAGCTTTCAAAGCCTTCAAATCTGTCTTTTTTATATGGTTGCTATTGCTAAATCTTCTTCTCCACATAGCAGGAATTTCATTCAAAATTGTTTCTCCTGGGGAAGGATATCGTCGTTTTTCCTTGCTAAGCAAATGGAAGGCACCGTGAAAATATTGGATGACGGTAATGTGCCAAGTCTGCGCTACTATGTGAATCGCGAGGGAGGGCGGCAAGAACAAGTATATTCGATAGCCTGATTCTCGTAACTTTCACAAATGTGATTTGACTGGTCTTCACTAGTCTGAGAAGAAAGCGAAAAATGGGACAAACGGGATTTTGGCTTGCTCTTAATTCCAGAGTTTGGAGGTTAGTTAAAGTGGGGTTCCTAATGTGAGCAAAGAAGTGGTAGTACTTTGTAATGAGTGCAAAAAGAATTAGACTACTCACCTTTGAAAGTTAGCATGTTCGAAAATGACCACCTCACTTGAGTGTCCCAATATTTGGAAACTTCAAAATTCGTTGAAACTTTGCCCACAGAGGTTATTTGAAATGCAAATTACGAAAATGATGCTCTTATGCTTTGGATTCTTTTATCATGCTTACTGTGCGTGTACGACGTCAGGTGAAAACATCAGTGCTGGTATCTTGCACAATGGGCCTGTCAGACATTCTTGACTGACCGTCATTGTTGCCGTTTTTGGCATTTCTAACGAAAATCATAACCTTTCATAGAAAAGCTCGATCAGCTCAAATTTGGCATTGGAAAGAGCATCTCACAAAAGCTCCAAAAAATATGCTCTCAGATTTTTCTGCAGCATTTCAGATTTTCAACGTTATTTTCGAAAATAGGGAATTTGACTGGTTCGAATTTTCGAATTTTTATCTGTGATGTCCCTTGCCCTCAAAAAACCCAAAAGATACTAAGAAAGTAGATGATTTTTCTTTCTTACGATATTTTTTGTAAGCAAGTACGTCCAAATAGGAAGCAGTCACGATTTCTTGAAATTAAAGCGACAGAATTTTCGCTTCAACCTAATTTTTTGAAGAGCTGCTTCAAAATTTACATCAAATGAATTACGATAGGGACTTTCAGCATATCAACTTTTTTGTATCTTGTTGCTTCGCTCCGATAGACCTGGAGACTTGAACAAAAGTTTTTACGCACGCTAATTATCAGTCACCTGTGCACAATTCTGTAAAAGTGCGATTGAGAGAGTAACGAATTTCTATGATGTTTTAGACTTTATACGTTTGAAGCGAAAATGGCTCTAAGTTGGTAAAGAACACTTAGTTCTTTCGGTATTCTACAGCAACGGAGACACTGTAGGCCTAAGTACCCAGCCCTACAATGGTACCCGAAGGTCCGCGAAATACGTTTAGGCTGAATAGCGTGTTCATAGTTTTGAAGCAGCCCGTGTCTCTCATCTTCTTACGTATGATATGCATTTGATTACTGACGCACTTCTGTCAATCACATCTACTAGAAGGAACGCTTGCCGCACCTTTGCAAGACCTCTCGGTGTGGCCGTAGGTGCGTCTTATTCATAGGTTAATCGAATATCGCAAATAATCAGAAATCCAGTAATAGACGAAAATTGGTAAAGAGCTTTTTTTTGGTTCTCGTTCCTTCAAGTAAGATTTGTAGTAGCGAGCTTGAAATTTCTTGTAAGAAGTTTTTCTCAATATAACAATGTCGATGTGAATTCTTGCTATCAGATTGATCAAACATATTTTTGCTTCCTTTTTTCTCAATTGAAATCGTAGGTGAAGTTCTCTCCCAGGTGCAGCTCAAAATGTTGAACATATATTATACGATTGAATGATTTCATATGATCATGTGTGCACCCGCACACACTGTCCATCTTTGGCGTCCTCATCTTGGTTTGCAATCGCATTAACGCAAGAAACTGACCGATTGCTCCTGCTTACATCACTTTGATATGAACGGTACCTATAAAGGAAAGAAAACATCGAAAATGTACCGAAAACACTTACTTGAAGCGTTGCCTCTTCGAAGAATCCAGGATGGGAACGCCAAACGTGGACAGTGTGTGCAATGACACACATGATCATATAAAATTATCGACTGTGGCTTCTCTCTTTATGCTTATTCTGTGCATTGATCGTTTCAGTTTACTTATCTAGGTGGCCGAAAACCGACTACGAAATGGCTTTGCTTGTATCCGTCCACCAGGTCATCACTCCGAACGGGATCAAGTTTGTTTATCCACATATTGTTTCTTCCTTAGAAGTACTGCTTCTCATTTTATAGGCTATGGGATTCTGCTTTTTTAACAATGTCGCTATCACTGCGCGTTATCTCCAGCACAAGTATCCACAGCAGTGCGCGCGAATTGCAATTATTGATTGGGTTTGTTGAAAACACAAGATTTGAGTAAGAATGTAAGAATAACTCCACTAATTAAGGACGTCCACCACGGGAATGGAACGCAGCTGTGTTTTGAAGAAGATCCTAATGTTTTGTACTTGTCACTTCATCGTCATGACAACGGGAACTTCTTTCCTGGAACGGGTGCTGTCACCGAAATTGGACGTGGAGCTGGCAAGGTTTGCGCAGATCTCGTCAGCTTAGTTCCGGCTCTTGGCGCTCAAATCTTGCATTGCAGGGTTTCTCAGTCAATGTGCCTTTCTCTGGAGGCGTCATGAGAGATGCTGATTATCTGGCTGCTTGGAGGGTAATCGTACAGCCTATTCTAGAGCAGTTCCAGCCAACTTTCATATTAGTATCAGCGGGATTTGACGCATGTTGCGGTCATCCAAATGCTCTTGGCGGGTACGACGCTGTTGCCTCATGCAATAGATCAGTTTCGTGACATTCAGGTATAAAATTTCGGCGGAAATGTTTGGCTACATGACACGTCAGCTCATGGGTTTCGCTGGTGGTCGAGTTGTTTTGGCGCTGGAAGGTGGCTATGATCTTGCCAGTATTTCCGACGCTGCTGAACAATGCGTAAAGGTACGCTGGCGATCTCGTTGCTCAAAGCTTTGCGGTACATTGTGCTTCAAAACCAGTATTCTGCGCATTAGAATGCAAAGTACTGCTTCTCTTCAACAGAAGTGACGTAGCCAAATGAATGCTGGCACAAATTTGCAAATTACGCGGCATGTTCGACGTTCACGAAAATATTTATCGCCTGTTCAGTATACTTGGGGAAATTCGAAATTTTTTTCGAATATTCGAATATCGAATATATTCGAAAATTGGAAATTTCGAATATTCGACTATCGAATAATATTCGAAAATCAAAAATTTCGAATATTCGACTATCGAATATATTCGAAAATCGAAAATTTCGAATATTCGACTATCGAATATATTCGAAAATCGAAAATTTCGAATATTCGACTATCGAATGATATTCGAAAATCGGAAATTTCGAATATTCGAATATCGAATATCATTCGAATATCGAATATCATTCGACCTTCGAATATCATTCGATTTTCGAATATCATTCGAAAAATTAATGTCTGTGTGATATGATAACATGACCAAGCGCATAGTTTACAAGTACTGTAGGTCTTTCTAGTGCCCTTTTATGCGACTACTACTCTGCAGTATATGACGTATATCTCAGCGCGTTGCGCGGATTCTCTACATCTAGCTTTGCCGTCGACAACTCCACGATACACATATAGTATACACATTGTTGAACTGTATAAGTGCTTTACCCACAACTTACGACTCCAAACTCGTGACAATAAGCAATTTTCCTCTCGTTGGCAATGCGATAAGCTAGACCGCTGCTGGAAATACTATACAATGACTGGTTCTACCATATACCTTTCTCCCACCACAACAAATGGCGAACTTCTTGACACAACACTATCCTTCCGGTCACTAGTGCATTATCTTGAATACGCCCTCAATTTACGATGTCGAGTGGAAGTAACGCTGTGACGATATCAGGAACATCTTCATGTACACGTTCACATCTATCACCTTTTCCGAATGCGAATGAGAAACAGCGTGCACTAGACCTCAGGCAGGGTCGGCAGTAATCTGGTCGGAACTCACAGTTACTTTGACTTAACTCTGAGTTATATCCGAGCTGACTCGCACCTTTCTTACCCCTTCAACAGTTGAATGGACCAAATCTAGAAAGCGACATATGGCAGGAGACTCCGTAACCGGTAATTTATCCTTAGTAGGAAAACATTGTCGAAATCGTTTTGCACAAGAAACAGCGCCACCAAACGCGCACCTGTGCTTTGCGATAACTCTGAGTTTGGTGGGCGTTACAGTCTATCGTGGAACTCAGAGATAAATCTGAGTTTGGTCAGAGAAAGAGAAGTAGTGTACAAAAGAAAAGATGCAGCTAAAAAGTCCTCCGGAGTACATTTTGCTCGTACTTTCAGGCAGCAGGCATATGGGGGGGGGGGTATCGTAATGCCCGATATCTACAAAATTTTGAAACCTTGTTAAACCTTGGTCTAGGAGGTTGTTCGGTGCGCAGTTCAAAAATATGGTACTCATTTTTCACTTTTTCCTGTTGGGGTTATAAAGCCGTGTTACGGTGGATCTAAACGTTTAAACTGTAAGTTTAAGTTTTAGAGTTTACTCAGTGACGCTCATGAAGAACTGATAGACGCTGTTGAAGAACATCAAAAGCTGGCGTCCCTGGATAACGAAAATCGATAGCAGCTACATCTGCAACAGAATCGGCGCATCACGATTACTGTATAGGCTACTGCGCCAGGACCACAAAGCATATACAGGCCCCGTAAAATCCAATTGCCCACGCGTCGCTTTGAACACCAACGCGCGACGCGGCTGGGAACGTTTGGTCCCGAAGCGCTACAGGCCTTTTGCGAGCGACAGTGAGCGCACCCTTTCCGCACATATTTTTTTGAACTTTTGAAAGGAGCTTTCGTCAATATACCCTGCATTGACGACAGCATGAAAATTAAAGAAAGATTTCTTGGAATATAGTGAAGGCCAACAATCGTTCGCGACGACGGCTCGCTTACGCTGGTGTTCAAGGCACGGCGCGAGCAATTAGGTTTTACGGCGCCTATACACTCCCCATTGAGAGTTGTAGCTTGATGGAAACTTCTACACTGACGTGCTAGACTTACCATCCAGGGCCCAGCTTGAGATCGTTTCTAGGCTTCTTGAAAACGAATCCCCTTTGACTGTCAGCCCTAAACGTAAAAAAACCCTCAAAAGACGAAACGCCGGTTAAAAAACGACGCAATTTTTGGCCACAAAAATGATATCCTTTTGCTTTTCCGCCCCAAAAACCAAATCTAGCTTGCTTCCTTACAATCTGCGCCGGGCTCTGGTTTCATCATTCAAATTATCGAATATTCGAATATTCGATGTTCATCGAATGATTCGAATATTCGATGACCATCGAATATTCGACTTTCGAATAATATTCGGAAATTGAGATTTTCGAATATTCGACTCTCGAATAATATTCGAAAGTTGAAATTTTCGAATATTCGAATATCGAATATATTCGAAAACTGAAAATTTCGAATATTCGACTTTCGAATTTTATTCGAAATCTCAGATTTTCGAATATTCGACTTTTCGAATGATTCGCATTCGAATGATTTATTCGAATAATCGAATAATCATTCGATTCGGTCCCAAGTATACTGTTCAGGCTTATGCTTAGTATCTTGTAGGTGATCTGCAAATGCTAAGCAAAAGCTTGAACTCTTAAACCGAAAATTATATGCTTTCTGCTAGAATGCGATACGTAAAGCTTGCCTTGCATTATCCGAAAGCTCGTAAGAGGTCTTGACTGATATATAGCAAGCTATAAAAAGTTATGATAAACTAAGCTCACTGCTCGAAATGTGCTGAAAGTGCGTCAGCAATGCTGTGAAGTGTTGAGGCAGAGATAAAAGCCAAGTTAAGGTGCAAAAAGGAGACTTCTAGGACAAGCTCATTGCCATTGGAAGGAGCTTTTCAGTAGTGCCTGACTTGTAACTTAGGCCCGTATGCATTAACATTCCTGCGGCGAAAGAAGCCACGTCCATTCTTATGAAGGGGTCGCAGGTGAACGCTGCTGCGGCTTTTTTACCATAGGGGACGCCGCTCCCCTCGCCGCAGAGATGTTAATGCGTACAGAGTTTAGATGATCTGTTCGGGCAGTGGCCAATTTTAGTATTAAGCAATGTTCGGACGGCTTTGAAAGCATTCAGTCTCAACAGTTTACTGAAGCGGGCTGCCCATGCAACGCATAGCCCGGTTGCAACTGCAAAATATTGCTTCTGAAGCGAGAAAATCACTTTAGAAGTCTAAACGTGTACGCCCTTTGTTGCCTATCTCCTGAAAAGACAAAGGCATGCATCATGGACACCGAATGTCCGTTGGAATGAAAAGTCCGCATGTCGTTTTATTTAGGAGCGCTCTTTGCGAAGAGCAGGTTGCGCTGCCATAATTTTTGTGGGCTATGAAAAGCCTAGAGGAATTATCACGAAGCAGTTTTTTTGCTCGTACGAAAACTTTTACAGTGAAGGAACGACATGTAAAATTACGAAAGACTGTGAGCAGACGGTCGTTTCAGCTTCGCTGGAACCTAGCTGGAACGGTTTCAACTAATCTGTATGAATGAAGCTGAACGCCTGTATGTCTGCCTGTCTGTCTCTGTGTCAGGGTCAAGCGTGTTGATGCGATCCGGGACCCTCATTTACGACCCCCCCCCCCTTGGAGGTAGCCATCCCTACGACCCCCCCCCCCTTCCCCTCTACCCCCATCCCCCCCTCCCCACCCTCACCCATTTATCCCCCTTACCTCCCCTGCCCACATTCCTCGCGGTAACCTGCATAAACGAATGTCAGTCTCAAAAAACACCTGCGTGAGAACTTCAGTGAGGTTTCGGAAGCAGAATTTCTAGGCCATTGGGTGCGTCCATCATCTGTAGCACACATACACACCTTTAATAATGTTTGAGATTCTGCAAGTTTTTTTTTGAATTTTCAGGCATACTTCCAGCAAATTCGATTCCCGTAGGCGACAAATTTTTGCACGGAGAAAAAATGACATTCTTGAACCACAAAAGATGTTTTCGACTAAGAAGCTTACTTCCTACTTCTTCCACAGTTTTCCCCGCGAAAAAAACCGCTTGAGCGCCGTCCAGAACGACGTCAAAAACGTGCATGAGCACGGTAATTTGAAAATTCGTAACTAAGGCCAGGAAAAGACTGAGAGGCTGCAAAGCATAGGTTCTGTAGAATAGTGCCCAGACTATCCAGAGAAAAAGTTTCAGCCCTTGAGGAGCAATAAGCTCGAAAAAATTTAGATGCGACTCTCGCAAATTTAGATGCGATCCTAAAAAGCAAGAACTGGGATTTTTGAGCTTAAAATTTTGTAACTTACCAGAGAAGTTATAAAACAGCCTGCAATTTTTATGAGGGAAAGTAGGAGGATGGCCTCATATTACAGCAGAATTGCAGCCAACAAGCTTCAATAGCTCCGAAGAAATTTAGATGCGACCCAGATACGACCCCCCTTTCCTTACTTTTTGCAACCATACATAAAATTATAAGAAAATCTACAGTTGACAAAATAACACCAAATTATGCATTGATATAGCGGAGCATCTCAAAAGTGCAGATAAATCATGTGAGCCCGTGAAAAACATTACAAAAAGATTTAGAATTTTATGATGGTCACAGCTGGTAAAGACATTCGCTTTTGTCGAGTGTGAGAGACTTCAGGAAGGCTTCAGAAGCGAGATTTCTAGGGCAATCGGTACATTTAGCATATTTATCAAATAATACATCCTTCAAAAGTGTTTTGAGCTCTTGTTAATGTTTTTTTTTTGAGAATTTCTACAGATTTTTTATCTTTTTTATTCAGATTTCCACTTTTTTATAGATTTATTGTAAAGAACTTAACTAATTATCTGCTTTTTGATTCCCTTTTAAGCCTAGGGTATTTTAGCCTAACTGCCTTCTCTTACGACCCCCCCCCCCCACCTTAGGTACCCTCCTTAC